CAGCCATAAAGAAGGACAAACATATGGACTTTGCAGCAACTTGGATGGATTTAGAGTTGTTCATACTCAGTGATCTATCACAGAAACAAAGAATAGAGTACTATATGTTTTCACTCATAAGGGGACCTTGAACAATTATAATACTATAAGAAAGCAATCGGCAGTAGTGGGAAACTTTCAAGGGAGAGGGGGTGAGATTGGCAGTTGAGGGAAACTGCTAGGGGAGGGAGGGGCACACCTCATCAACAAGGGTACCTGCATAATCAACATTTGTATAACTTATCCTGAATTGTACTCCACATCTTTATAATAAAAAAATAGTAAATTTTTTAAAAGAATTAAAAAATAAAACAACAACAGATGCTGGCAAGTATGCAGAGAAAAGGGAATGCTTCTACACTGTTGGTGAGAACACAAACTAGTTCAACTTCTATGAAAAACAGTGTGGTGATTCCTGAAAAAACTAGAAATTGACCTTCCATACGACCTAGCAATCCCCCTTCTGGAAATATACTCAGAGGGACTTAAATCAGTCTGCAAAAAGATACCTGCATATGCATGTTAATTTTAGCACTATTTACAATAGCAAAAACATGGAACCAACCTTGCTGCCCCATGAAACCGGGACTGGTTAAAAAAAAAAAGTGATACATATACATGATGGAATATTACACAGCCATAAAGAAGAACAAAATTGTAGACTTCACAGCAACTTAGATGGATTTAGAGTCTATAGTACTCAGTGATTTATCACAGAAACATAGAACTGAGTATCACATATTCTCACTCATAAGCAGACCCTGAACATTTACCATAATACTGTAAGAAAGGAATTGACAGTAGGCAGAAACTGCCAGGGAGCAAAGGGATGGCACACATTAATAAAAGTGCCTGATCTCAAACTGGGAAAAGTGGGGACCAAAGGGAGGCCCAAACTTTACCTGTACAATCCTAAATTGTACCCCATATCTTTAAATCAAATAAAAATAAATAAATTCATTTGTAATGATGTTTATTTTTAAACAATTTTAAAAAATGAGAATGTTTGGTTATTTTTGTCTTAATAGCAATGCTCATCCTTTTCCCCACTGACAGTCTTTAATCACTAATCTGTTACTTATTCCTATAATTTTGTTATTTCAGAATGTAATGTAAGTGGGATTGCATGATTGTTATTCTTTAAATAACCAAAATGTAAGTCAAAGACTTTTTATAGAGGAGTTAAAGCCCTTCTATATTTCAAAGTTGAAATTTCCCTTTTGTATTTACTATGATTTTTCTACCTGAAAAATAAATTTAAAAATATGAGACCCTCACCAAGCTCTTTTCAATTCTTCACCTTCTAAAATCTCCTACCATGTATTACAGGGCAGTTTTTAAATTATAGATTTGGATAATAGTTATATCTGTCTTGTTATCAAGGTCAACTGGAAACTTTCCTAATATCCTAGAGTCTATAATACTGAGTGACCTCTCACAGAAACAAAGATCCGAGTATCACATGTTCTCACTCATATAATGGACCTTGAACATCCAATGTAATACTATAAGAAAATGACTGACGGTACTGGGAAACTATGGTGGGGGTGGAGGGAGATGGGATTAACGGTAGCAAACATCTGTCTGGGGATGGGGAAACATCTCTTATCAACAGGGTGCCTGAACGAAATGTATCTGTATACCTAACCCTTATGAGAGTGTACCCCACACTATCATAATAAAAAATATTGATAAATAAAAAAAAAACTTTAAAAACTTCTGGAAAAAATGCCCACCCATCTTTAAGTCATCAAAATGAATTAAAAACGAGATTTTCCTTCCTCAACTAAAACTTCTTTCCTGACACTTAGGCATGTGTTTGTGAAGAAAAGGATAATCCTCTCCAAATTGTCCCAAGAATTAGAAATAATTCTTTTTGCTAAAATTATATGCTTTCATCTAATTCTTTTCACAATCACAGTTTCAGGTCCAAATAGCTCAGAATCCCGTTTTTGCTCTTGTGGGTGAATTTTGAAAAGACCAATATTAAAGTTGAGGATAATCCTTTCTGTAAGTCTTCTTAAGGATTAAGAACAAAGAATTTTTGCTGATTCTCAATTGAAATAATTCAGTCTTTGGAGTCAGAATCAGGAAATTAGAAAAATAGTCTCATTTTCCTTATGTCTTAAGCTAAGACTTCCAAGGAGAGAATATCTAACCAATAGCTAAGTCAATCAAGTAGGTCACTAAACTGGAAAGAAAAAATATAAAAAGAAGCAGAATAAGTCATGGCAATGGTGAAGGCAGATGACAACAGATAGTGTGACCCCATCCAACTGTACGTAAGGTCAGCAGCAGCTAGCGTATGAGAACATCTACATACAAATGTTATTGATTTGTGCCCCAGGAATTTAGATGGATTTGAAAAGTATAGGGACACTATTGTGATTTTCTTTCAGTCTAGCTCCCACACTACCATCCGTAGCTTTATAAGACTATAGTAACCACAGTAATTAAATATTTGAAGCACAAATCAAAACTCCTGGAGATAAGACAGAAAAGAGATAAGGCAGAGGGATGCCATCATTGGCTGAAGCCAAGAAGAATCCGCATACGTCCAGGTTCACAGGAGGCTGGATCTGGAAGGCTTCTCTTAGAATCACTAAGATATGATGATGCCTCTTGCTAATGAGATGGAAATCTGGAAATAGTGCTCTGTGAGTAAAACCTGTAAAAACAGAAACAAAATATATGACACATGCAAATAAAAGGGATGTTCTCAGGGTGATGAGAAAAGGACAAATTCAAGAAATTGGTCCATATTCATCTCATAGCATCCTAAAAGATAGAAGCTCTGTATCTGTTGGTATTAACAATCCAATCGATCTTCAGTCAACAGATATTTAACGTGCAACCACCACATGCCAAGTACTATGTAATAGTGTACAATAAATGCATACACATTTCCTGACCCTGTGGAACTTACAGTTTTATAGGCATAACAGGAGTTTTCAAAATCTATGCACAAATATAGGCATAGATATTTAAAGGATATTAATTGCAACGTTTCCTGTTGTCTTGGACTTTGGAGCGAGCCACCAAAGGCTTGTTATAGACCACCATATATGCTTGGGGACTCTTGCAAAATGTATACAAAAGAAATAGATTGTAAATAATCCTTAAACAAGATAGATAGTCTTATTTCACGTCTCATATTTTAAATTTTCTGCTCAATATTGGTAGTCCTCTTTTGATTATCTCCTATTATTACTGTTTCCTGCACCAGATTTTTGGGTGTATTTTTCTTGTTTTGAATCTTTGACTTATTCCCTTGTAAACTACTCACATCTATTTTCTTTACTAAAATATTTCTCTGGGAAGTTACTTTCTTTCCTCCAATAAGTTCTGCAAAATTTAACTGTTTGAAATAGTTTATTACTTGATTAGTTGGCTACATAATTTCACCCTTCTCTGTCTGTGTCTTTCTCAGTCTCTCTCTCCCTCTCCCTCCTCCTCCCTCTTCTTCTCTCTCTTCCTTTCCCTTCTCCCTCTCCTCCCCCTTTCTGTCTCTCTCATACACACACACACACACACACACACACACACACACTACTATGTTCTCTTTCTTGGATTATTATTATTTGCACAATGGGGATAGGATTTCCTTTCAAAAGGAAGAATATCTTTCAATTTGGAATTCCAGATGAAAATAAATCTACCAGGCTAATTCTCATCTAATATCATCAAACAATAGCAAAGGGGCATGGCAGTTTAAGTATTTTTGTGACCACTAATCTGCACATGAATTTAACACAAGATTGTCTGAAATTGAGGCCTTCTGGAGTCATTAGAAGCTGGATAGCGAACTAGCTCCTAATGTTAGCTTACTAATGACGATAAAGTCATTAGGAGCTAGACAGAAGCTAATAGTCATTAGGAACTAGATAGATAGAATGTTGTAGATCAGAGCAGATACAAGAGCGTTCAGTGGTTACAGAATAAAAATGTGATGCACTTCAAGGTCACAGAAATGGTCAGGGAGCCATACTAGAAAAAAGTTAAAGGTAAATATTGCTATTCAACTCCTGGAAATTATCTAGGAAATGATGAAGTTACTGTATATGTGTGTTCATCTTAGCATTATTTATTACAACAAATAATTAAAACAGTCTTATAGCCAACAAAATGAAATTACCTACATAAAGTATTATAAAAATCATACACTGAAATATCATCATTAGAATGTATGTATTGTTCTATAAGAAACATTATATAATTATTATTTCACAACATATTATGGGGTAAAAAACGTGCAACAGAAAACATCCTGTAGCATATGATTCCATAAAATAGTTTTTTCTAAGTGGTAGGATTTTGGAGCTATATCATTTTATTTTTGGCATTCCTTCTCTGGATAGTCTATCATTTTCTACCTTGAACATGGATAACTTTGTAATTGCATATAGAGAATGAACCAGGTGGTGTGGTTAGTTCTGAGAAAATTGAAGAGCTTCATTTCTCCTTGGCATTAAGATTTTTGTAACATTTATCTTGTGCCTGTCATTTCAAGCATGGTATAAGTTAAGGAAGAGGGAGGGTCCACGAGATGTGATTTCAGGGGTATTTCAGCACTAGAAAAGTACTCAGAACTTAGTAAGCAATGCATAAATACTTGTGGAGGTAACCTAAGTAAACTAACAGTTTACATGTAGATTTGGCCAAGTGTTTCTGAACTTTGTAAAAGCCAAGCTCTCACTTTAATATAATCACCACAAAGAAGATTTTTAAAAATATTTTGCCAAATTATCTAGGATAAAGTATTTGAAATATGCTTTTGATGAATGATCTTTTTAGATATGTTCTCTGAGCCTCAGAGATAGTGAAGTTCCCTCTTCTAAACCCCCATCTCTGCTGACAGTCGTTGCTGCTTCCTGCCCACACTGTGACTCTTATGCAGGTGTTCATAGCTGGGGGATGCCTTATGTTAAGATAAGAGGTTTTTGTAGGGTTCTTGCAGGCACCTATGTCACTGTGGCATCCCTCAGAGCACAAAAATACACCGCTGAGTCCCCAAGTTGCAAGGCTGTGATGGTGAGATTGATGGAACTGGCTGACTTCTGGAAGTTCAGAGAATACCGACCCTTCATTGCACTTTGCTCATTATAAGACTCCTGATCAATAAGGAAAATCATTTCCCCACTTGATGGTTGCTTGTACCAGAATAAATAATAACTGAAGGAAGGAGCTTTATATTCACAATCCAAGGTCACATCCTCCTTCTCCAGCGCAGAAATTGAAGCTTGGGCTTGAGTTACTTCCCGGGACATGCTGGATCCTGAGAGAGACAGAGAAGAGAGTGAAAAAAAGAGAGAAGGAGGGAGAGAGAATTAGACTGATTCTCCTGGTGGTACTCATGGGGTTGTAAGGAACTAATGTAGGAGAGGGTTCCAATTCCTCTGTCTATTATACTACTCTCCTAAACCCCATCAGACATCAACCACCTGTTGCTGCCCCCAAACTTGGAAGCTGAGAAAAGCCTTAGTCCTGCATCTATGGCCACTCTTACCAACCTTACCAAGGCAGATGGAGGCTATGACCACCCTCAGCAGGCTCGGGAGTAGCATGTTGGAGGCTCTACCTCTGGGTAAAATGTGTTGTGCTCTGTTGCAAAAGGCCTACCTATGCCTGAGAAGACACATGCACAATTTCTGAGCTATAAGCTGTTTCTTTACCAGAACAGGAAGTGTAACTTGTTGATGTCAGTTTGCCTGTGCTATGCCTTGGTTTTTTTACTTGGTTGGAGGGGCTAACCTGCCATTTGATCTTTTTGTAATTTAATGGACAACGATTCTACCTAGATGTGTACATGAGTACAATTAAATTGGAGGGCATTAACGATTCAATTATTTGCTATATTCAGTCAATACTGAATTGTATTTCATAAGAAATGCAATTATTGTGGGTTATAGTGACTACTGAGAGCAAATTATCATCCATCTTGTGGAATGATGTATGCTTTTTATGTCTATAGCTGGAATCAACAGTGAAATATGTTCACAGATTTTTGTTCCAGAAAGAAAGATAAAACTATTCACTCGTAATCATCATAACTCTTTCTTGTATATGCCAAAGCATTGGATTCTGGGAAAATTCATATTGGATAAAGTTCTTTTTCTGCATACTAGTATTATAGCAAGCTTCTTGATGGACAAAATTTGTTTAATTGCGTGTGTCCAACAGCAATCAAAAGTAAGCTTGTGCTAGAAAATGTCTTAGTTTCAAATATTACACCCTGTAGTCAAAATGAACGCAGCCACATTTATCAGACCATACATTCTCTTCTCTTAAATTATAAATGAAGCAACTGAAAAATTGCAAATCCCTCTGCCAGCCCACTGCTGTAGTAGGTGTACCTCAAAGCCTTTTTTCACCAGGAGCACCTCAATAGCTTTATGTTTCAACAGCATGAAAGTTGGTGACTGATTTGCTTGGCGTCAGTGTCCTGATACATGAGCATGCTTTAGATAACTGCAGCTTTTAGTTGTCTATTTGTGTCCTATTCCTTCAATGAATACATATGTTTAGTGACCTAAATTCCCTTTTTATATTATGAGAGAATTTTTTTTTAAGTCCAGGATAATTCAATTAGTGATAAAAGTATCAGAAAGTGTGTGATTGTCCCTCATCCCACTATCCCCAAACCCAACACATCCCACAGCTGCTAACCACAATAAACCTAAAGGTTAACACAGGAGTCAGATAATTTCCTGTTGGGAGCTGGCCACAGAGGCCCACTGGGCGTTAGGGATCAGGGAAGGCCGTGGACCCCAAGACCACTAGGTTGTGTTCAGGAGCCGTTGACCCATTTTCCTCCTCCTTTTACCATGTAACGCAAATAACCTAAAGGAACTCTGCTGACCTGAGCTGAAGGCTCTGTGACGGTGACAGGCATGGCTCACTCTAGAAACTCATTGTTCCTGTTTCCCATAAACTGCGGTTTCGGCTTAGGTATTAGATATAATTCAAACTCAGGTCACATTTGGGAGCCTTTTACATGGTACAAGCCTTTTTATAAGATTTTAAAGTGTATTTGTAGAATTAGTATATACTTATGGAGAGCTATTTACAGCTTTTCAATGGTATAGATGATTATCAAGAGTTATCAGAAATGGCCCAGCACAAACTTTGGACTGGGCCACATTCCTGAGGGCCCAGCACGTACTTTGGACTGGGCTGCATTCTTTTAGGCTGGCTTTAGCTACAGTTAGTTTAAGGTTTTTCTACCTATTATAGAAATTGAATTTATTTTATTCATAGAAAGTATTATAGAATAGGTCATGCTAACGTCAGGGAATCATGTTAGTTCAAGCATGATCAACCATGATATTTTGAGGTTTAATAAGAATACAGTTAACTTTAGAAATTTCACTGTCTCCATTTTCTACTATTGTGGTTTTGGTCTTAGTACATTTACAGTTTATATTTGGGTTTTATTTTTAGAAGCTTTGTTGCCGATGATCAGCTTTATATATTAGGATCAGGAATTAGAAGCTTTCATAGAAATTAGGATAGATATATAGGACTTTAGAATAGCCATTTTGTTAAGAGATTGTAGTCTATTGTTCCAAAAAGTGGCCCGCTATGAACCATGGACTGGGCCACATCCTATAGAGCCCAGCGTGATCTTTGGACTGGGCCACATTCTTTAGGAATTGGTTTAAGCTACAATTAAGAGCTTCCATAGCATTGTGTAAGTAGTATTAGCATAGAATAGAAAGGTAATAAAATTTAAGTTAGTCATCATGGGTGTTGTGTGCGCATGAGCTTTAGAAGTTATTGATTATCAGAACATCATGATGCTAGTAGGGATTGTTGCATTGCTTTTGAGGAACATTAACTAGAGAAGGGAACAATAAGACAATTTGGGGGTTTGTCCCTCCGCGTACCTGAGAAAACATCTGGTGGGTGGGGGACGCCCCTCCTGCACCTGGCTTTGTGTTCACGTGAAAGACTTGTGAGACTGTCTGTGTAAAATTTGGGGATAAATACCTGCTGTAATTTCCAATAAAATGGCTTCTGCTCATTTCACTGAACAGTTGTCCACTTTCTTTCTTTCTCTTTATTCCTTTTTATGTCTATCCCTCCATCTTTCCTTCTTTTAATATCTTTCCCTCTTTTAATATCTTTCCCTACTACAGAATCGGCTTCTGCGATAGACAGAGTTCAGTTCTTTCTTTCTCCCCCTTTTCTCTCTCTCTCTTTATTTCTCCAGAATAATTGCCAATGCTGCCACACCTTCCAAGGGACCTCCTAAATCTTTCCAAAATTTGCAGGGGCTGGCCCCCCGCAATTTCCCCCCTTTTATGTGTTTTCTTTAAACTAGCCAATTTACAGCTCCCATGAGATAAGACCCTTGGACCTTAATAAAGGGATAATCCCACAGGCATTCTCTCTCTCTCTCTCTCTTTCTCTCTCTCCACATGCTGGTCGAGCTCCCTACTGCCTCCAAACTTCCCATTGGCCTCCCATTGGCACCCCTAACCTTTGGGACCCGGGAGCAAAAAATTTATGTTGGGTTTTGTATTTTGGTTCCACTTCTTCATTACATCTCACCCAACCCACACACCCGAGCCTAACTTTCTAGAATATTTTTCAGACTTTGGGTTGCTTATTGATTTTCTTAATACTTTTGATGAGCACCATTTAAAAATTTTACTCATGTACTATTTCTCAATCTTTCTTTTCTGGTTAGTATATTTTGTATATATATTTTGTAATATACTGGTTAGTATGTTCCTTTTTTATTTATTTTTTCTCTAGTTTTTAAACGTACACATCTCAGCATGAATATTATCTACATTTTAATTAAATTCATTGGCATTTTATTAAAATTATTTTAACATTCATTTCTGATAAATTAATACTTGGGCATCCTTTTGAGTCAGCTTGTATTAACTGTTTTCTCTTTTGACCATGAACCACATTTTGGTTTGTATGTTTATTTTTTGCTGGTTTGTACGTTTACTTTGTTTCATAATTTTTATTGTATCCTAGAGTCTACATAAAATATAGAAACTAAAGCAAATCAGACCAACTCTCCAAAAAGTTCATATTCTTTCTTCTTCATCCTGTTAGGGTGTGTGGGTGGTAGTGGCAGGGGTTGAGTCAACTAATTTACAGTTCAGCTGTATAATCTTAAAGGAAAGAGAATCCAACTCTTATTTTTTAAAAAAACTTCTATGGTTTCAGGTCTGGTGTTTTTTGCAGTTTTAATTTCATTCAGGGTAGGCTCAGAACTTTCCTTTGGCAGGGCTTGGGATCCGAGCGCTATACAAATTCTAGAGACCTATTTATGCTTTGTAACTAGAGTTGCCTCCATTTTCAAGTGTGGCAGGTATCTCTTGCTTTACAGTCTGGCTGCCAGCTTTTGAGACACTAGGGAGTTCGTTTTGCTCTCTAGAACCACACTCAGCATTTTTGCACCTTGGGCAAACACTCTCATTCCTGCTGCTTTGTTCCAGACTTCAGTACGTGGATGATTTATACGCTGTAAAAGCCCAAATTGTCTCAGCAGGCTTTCTCTCCACTATCCCACTCTTTTCCAAGGCATTGGTGTTCTACTTGTGCAAACCATGAAGACACGTGAAGCATGAGTGGGAGAGACAGGTATAGACTTGCTCAGTAGCCGCAGCTTCTCATAGTTCCAATCTGTCATGCCAGCAAATACATAGCCCTTAAAAGTTCTTTACATGTTTGACTGATTTCCCTTTACCTCTTTTAATAGAATACTCCTCCATCTTTCATTATTCATAAGTGACAGAAGAAGCTACTTTTGGAAATTTAGTTTATTAGCTTTTTTTTGCATTCTCAGCTCTCTTGACAGTTTTTTTTTTTAATTTCAACTGTGACTTTTGTTAGCTTATCAGACTTATTTTGGCTATTAGGATGAGAGTAAAGGGGGTTTTTTTCCACTTCCTATATCTTAACTATAAACAGAGATTCAAATATATATTTCACATTAACAAAAATTTCAAATTACCAATCTCAGATTAACCATTAGTGACCTCTCTAAATCTCAGTGTTCTTAGCAAATAATAATGGTACTTAACCACAAAGCAGTATTGTATAGCCAAATATTGGGACATGTGCCTGGTATGTATTAGCGCTTAGAATTTTTAACTAAAAGGGTTTTATGTTGCTATTTGGTTTGAATTTGTCCAGACTTGTAGGACATGATGGTTAACTTTTTGTGTCAGCTTGATTGGGTTAAGGGATGCTCAGATAGCAAGTGAAGGATTATTTCTAGACATGTCTGTGAGAGTGTTTCTAGAAGAAATTAATGTTCAAATTGATAGACTGAGTAAAGAAGATCCACCCTCACCAACATGAGTGGGCATTGTCTGATCCATGGAGGACCTGGATAAAATCAGAAGGTAAAGGGGGGGGGGTAATTTCTCTCTCTCTCTCTCTGCTAGAGCTGGTACATCCACCTTTTACTGTGCCCGGACATTGACACTCTTAGTTCTTGGACCTTTGGATTCCAGCTGACTTATGCTACCAGCTTTCCTGGGTCTCTAGTTTGTAGACAGCAGATCATGGGAATTCTCAGCCTTCATAACCACAT